GCAACCTTAATACAGTAGCCTTTTCAGGATTAAAACCAGGTAAGGTAGAGCCTTTTCCTTAAGTCTGCAATCTCCCATTAAAGACAAAGGCTTTCCTGAAATTGCATGCGTTGTAATCAAGTACATACAATAAATCGGTCTCAATTTTCAGAAAAAAACCAATTATTTGCGTGAAGCGAAATTCTAAAAGTTCGAACTGATAGATGCGTTTGCGGTTGACAGATGAAGGTGAAAAGTAGAGTTGGTGATTAGTTACAATCGACAATTCCGATTTCTCGCCAACAAAGGAAGACAATCAGGCGGGCTGCCCTCGATTGTTTTCGAAGAAGGTGAAATCCTAAAGAAGAAAAGACGTCCTTGTTGAAAAGATACTGATAAATACGTTCTTATATAAGTCCACATCTAAGGATCTTGCTTTAGTCAAGTCGGCCTATTAGATACGTAAATGCTGAGGCTTCATAGCGTTTACTTACCCTCTTGCCTACGTAATAGACTTGGAGTACCTTTGGACAAATGCGATTTTACTATTCCTCTTAAAAACTGGAAAATGTATGCTTATCGACCTATGCATTAAACCATTCCCGCTGACGTGATATTCGTTTACAAAGCAAGTTTAGTCGACCACAACCACGAAACCAGCCATATTTCTTAGTCATGATGTCAACCAATGATCTTCCAATTGTCGCCCGTTAATGGCTCCAGAGGAAATTAAAGAGGTTCACAGGAGTCTAAAATAAACGTCAAATTGCTACTTTCTACATATCTCGAAGCCATTGCCACTTTTGGCATTGCGTGAAAACATTAAAGTTATTTTTAAATGGTTGGCAAGTCGTAAAGGCAAGCAGCACGTACCAACAAAAATACGGCGCCGATGAGAAGAGCTTTAACGCGAACATCCAAGTCTTCAGGAACTGCAAAAAAACAAATGGATTATAAGGTTCCAAGGCATGTTGCAAAGGCCGTGGTATTAGGATTATTTAACAAGAGAGCCGACAGCACGCGTCTGTTAACTACCCACAGCACATATAGTGAAAAGTACTGCAGTATTTCATTGGCTGCCATGCGACAAGTAATAAAGAAATCAGCGAGCGAACTAGTCAAACGGCGCTTAACTACAGCTGTCACGAGAGCATTCCCTGCGGCGAATGTACGCTTATGTTTCACAAACTCTCCTCTGCTACGTTTGGGGGGTAAAGACAGACTACCGTTGAAGCCACATCAATGGGCATCTACTCATTCACTTCCTCCTGTGGAGCGGGATACATCGGCCGCACGACGAGACGCCTGGTAAAGAGGGCGCGTGAACATATGCCCGCCTGGCTAGACAGAGGTGAGACCCGATCGGTTTTGAGTTCTATTATCGCACATTTAATCGATACGGATCACCGAGTCGATGCCAAGGAAGCATTTCAGGTTGTCTATCGGACACCAACAAGCTTCTCTAAAGGCCTACGCCAACGGATACTAGCAACGGCCGAGGCTAGGGCTATACGGCTGGCGAATCCGGTGCTATGCTGTCAGAAAACCCTGACACAAGCGCTCTCTCTGCCGTGGCCAACGCCAACCTCACGTGATGACGACATGTCGCCTCAAATCCCTGATTACAGTGATGGGTACTCCGTGTACTCAATCCAAGAACATCATTCAATAACTCGCTTACCCCCTTCCTCAGTTCTAAGGACCAAAACCCACCGATCTCGTCATGCGGGCGGCGTAGGTAAGATGAGTGTTAATAACTTAATTGCCCTTGCGACACCTATAAACACTGTTAACTTTGTACATTTTCCCTCCTTCATGTAATCGTATTGGCCTGACGAAAAATTACCGAAAACGCGTGTTAGCCAATTTGACTTTTCAATTGTAACATGGGAATATTCGCTGAATAAAGAAATCATTGAATTTGGCTGCACCAGCGCCCTAACTCCAAGTTTATGTCATCTCTAACAAATGGCCTGTGTAGAATAAAATCCACTCCCTGCACACAACGACATAACATCATTTACATCGGAAAAACAGTTGAGCACAAGTTGAATCGTATCTCTTTCATGACTCTCATACATCTAATTGCACGGTGTTTGCTCAGGTTCCGAGGAAATGTACATTATCCATATTATTTGCGTCCTACTGGAAAGACCCGCGAGCATACGATGAGAATTTTCATTCTTTTTAGAATTATGAAGAGACAAAAATCCTTATGGGCAGAATGGTATTGCCGACAAAGACAAGGGAGACTGGTAGGAGCCGTCGTCAGCCAGCCATACCCAAGCCCGAAGTATGGAACACCAGAGCCTCGAACTCGCGACCTGTTGGTTTAGTCCACGCCTCTACCCACCGGGCCACGAGCCCGTTGCCCTGTCGGTTTTCGATCGGGAATATACAATGCTAGGGGGCGCTCACCGATCGTTCATACGGAACTCACTCGTTCGGTTGTGCCTTAAGGGCTCTCTCTCGAGCCCAACCAGCAGCCGCACAGCGGCGCATGATATATAGGCGGAATGGTATTACCGAAAAAGGCAAGGGAGACTGGTAATACCATTCTGCCTATATATCATGCGCCGCTGTGCTGCTGCTGCTAGTTCGGCTTGAGAGAGAGCCTTTAAGGCACAACGGAACGAGTGAGTTCCGTATGAACGATCGGTGTGCGCTCCCTACAATTACAAAGATCCTTGCTTACCATATATGCCAATTTGACTCTCACGAACTACGGCATAAATCGCATGTCACATGAGGCGGACGCATGATCATAACTCCTGCTCGAATTACTTTAAAGTGGAGAGGGCTTGCACAGCATCTACCGCACGACCTCCTTATCCACCCAACCAGTCACCGAAGCAACATAATGTCTTAGCGGCTTAGTGATTGACAAAGTTAGGCAGACTGTCTGCGCGTGCCACATCCGATCTGCTTCACATTACACTACTGGGCTACAATAAGACTGACTCATATCTCACGTTGGTGAGTCATACAAGACGCACCGGTAGGGAGCTACTGCAGATCGAGTTATCCCGTCAGCTGACAACGCTTACAGCCACGACTCCTAACGCGTCAGATGAGAATTAAGCGTGCACAGACTGCTATTCGCCGACTTACCGTGGATGTGGACACACCAGTGCCGACTGCGCATCTTGTTGACTCCTGGAGACTGTTAACAAGCTAGTGATGTGTTTGGTCGCAGTGTTTCGACGCAATACCACATTCCTCTCTTGGCCAGTCTTGACTTACTGTAGTCTGACAGCCGCTTACTATGAGCCAATCACACCCCGGCTTTTGGGCCGGCCCATTTGTGGGGCTGTCGTTCACTGGTTAAGGCAGAGCAGGGATCAGCACACAGGTCGGGTGGTTTTAAAGCCAAACTCCTCACCGCAGGCAAAATGAGTTAGTTTAAAGCAAATGTCAAACGCATGTAAGGAGCATTAGTTCCAGAAGCAACCAGCAACTCGGATAAAAGTCGCTGGAACCTTTATTGCTTTCAGCAACATCTCAAATGGAAAATCGGGAAGACGAGCGTCGAACCGGCAAAGCGGCCGGATAATATTAATTCCTGATTACCCGCGAGAGGTCTAGACAGATGGTCCATGGTCAGGCGCAGGGGACTCCACTATATCTTAACGTCCATGAGCACAAAAGACAGTAAATTCATAGCATTTTCTACGTCCTTTAAGGTCCAATTATTGGACACAATGCATTACGACAACGTATGCGAAATGTTTCAGTAGAAATCAAAGATTGCGCCAATATTTCTGTAGTAGGAGTTTGGTGAAATTACAGTAGATGTGCTAGCTCAAGAAATGACAACCAAAATTTCGAACTGCGTTCTTCTTTCAAAAAGATAAATAAGGTAGTGTTGTAAACCTAATCATGATGCAGCATAAATCTATAATGATCCAGGTACCTCTGGGTGTCGGCTTTCGAAAGAACTCATTTGCGGCTGCATGCAAGATCGATACTCTGCAAAAAATGACTACTTAAGAAGTGTGCAATTTTCTTATTGATTTTCGATGCCCTTGAAAATTCAATTATATTTCATGAACAACATGCACAGAAATATTTATTCTTTTACTTATTCAGTAGAAAATCACGTCTTCGTCCAATTTCATACTCAAAAGAAGATTACAATTCGGTTTTAAAAAAGTTTCTTACTTTGAGATTTTTTAAAACCGTTAAATGGCCGTTCATGAAACGTCATGTATCAGCATTTACGAATGTGGCTTGCAAAGTTAGCAATATTGCTTAAATGCACTGCTTACTTTTATGAAACTCATATGGTCTTCTCTTAACACCGTAGAGAAATGCATGGTTTTCCGTACACGGAAAATATACAGCTTGTAGTTTTGAAACCCTGAATGCAGGTGTAACGGCAGGTCGGGTTCAAAATTATTCGGAAAGAAGAAAAGTTTTTTAAAAACGAATTATACTCTTCTTTTGAGTATGAAATTGCATGCTACTTAAGTAGCCATTTTTGCAAAGTGTAGATCTTGCATGCAGCTGAATAAAAGTTCTTTCGAAAGCCGATGCCCTTAGATAACTGGATCATTATAGATTTATGCTGCATCATTATTAGTTTAAAAACACTACTTAATTTAACTTTTTGAAAGGAGAACGCATTTGGAAATTCCGAATGGCATTTCATGAGTTAGCACATCTACTGTACTTTGAGCACGTTAATACTAAAGAAGTCTATAGAAAAAATTTCAAAAATGCTGGTTATGCGCAACATGGCCAATAAATCAAAGCATTTATGTGGGCCCGAAATATATATACGGGAAGCACCGAATAATGCAAAAGACATTATCCAATGAAGTCGACAACGGACTGTCTGAACCCTTCTAGCAATGAATAGAGATAAGATTACTTAGCAGTGAACATTGCTGCCTGAAAATGCCTATCACGTTTTTCAAAATTATTTAGTTTTATGATTATTCCCTGGTGGTTTGATATACATTTAATTACAAAGACTAGAAAAAGCATATGAGAAAGCGGGGATTGTGTAAACAACAAATTCAAAACTTGCAGTGTAAGGAAAAGTCATCAGCGTCTGTGAAAACCTCCCGAACGAATCCTGTCCACTCTTTTATGATGTAGCCCAGGAGTGTAGAACCATCGGCCGACATAATCTGCAAATTGGTAGATTAGATAATAACATGACTTTAATAAGAAAATTCACTTTAGCCATGATGACTACACCAGCTTACCATTGAATTTACCATAAGCGTAAACACAAGTAATTCGAATAACAAACATGTCATTATCCTTCAATAATATTTGCATGATAACTTGATGAAAGTAAACAACAGCCGTTTGAATACCCATGATACAGGCTTAAGCATAGTCTTCTGTTAACGGAAAGCATTAGGGATGCGTGGAACAGATATCATTATTCTGATAATTCTGAAGACATTTTTACTCTTAATAATATGTGCTCAGCATAAAAAAACTAGTTGCGTAAATACTCACTTCCTTACAGTTCATTTAAGGACCCAATTTTGTCTGTAAATAGGTAGCTTAAGGGCGGACCACAATACTTAACGACGACCGGCCCATCACCTAGCTTATTTATGCAGTCGAGTACACTTTGTTCACGAGTAAAAGAAAGTGATCATTCTTTGAAAACATAGCAGGAACTAAGAAGCTTATTCACTGTAGTGTAATTTCCATTTCGAATAATCAACTTCCTGAAAACTGACTTTTAAAAATGTGCACAAACGTGTACAACTCCGCATTGACTTCGAAAAATAGAAGTCAAATTACGGATTCATATAGACAGCATTAAACCACACCAGTGAACGGTGCCGAACAGGAATGGCATAGTCTTCTGAGAAACATCGGAGTCAGAAATCTCATTCTTTAATTCAACTTATTGTTCAAAGGGACAGATGTTGCGCAAAATCCTAACATTAGTTGTTGCATAAGCTAGTTACAACGCACAATTTGCAACAATCTGTTTTTACCACGTACACTCAGCATACTAATTTCAGTTGAGCATTATGCGTTTTACCAAATTTTGAAGTTATAATAAATTCATATATGTTGTGAAAACCAAGCACGAATTTTTCCTTCCAGCATAAATTCGGTAGGAAAACACGTAATCGTCCAATCTAATATTCAAAAAGGGTGTATTTAACTTTCGAAAAAACTTTTTAGATCCCCGAATAATTTTTAACTCAAACTGTCGTTTTGTTTGTATCTGGGTTCAGGAGTCTACAGGTTAAATATTTTCCACGAAAGAAAAGTTGTTCATTGGTTTTTGCCATAAAAAATATATTATAATGTTAATAAAGCTGTGCAATGGGGGTTGACTTTGTTGTATACTTCACAAGAAGTAGTGGTAAAAAACAGACACGAGACCCTTTGGAAGGACATTCCACGATCATAAAAAAATCTAATAATTGCGAACTACTTAAAACCATTCGACTATCAGAAAGTAAGAAACATTGATTTCCTGCCAAACTAATGGCTATGCATGAAATATTTTTTGGGTTTATAAGCGTGTCAAAAATCCGCAGAAAAAATTCATATTGCTCAAACTACCAGAACGAAGTTCACTCAAGTTCCCACATCATGGCATGACTGAAACACGTTGTTATTACGCTGACTGCTACTAAGTATTGGAACACCACATACGTAATTCTTCCCAATTGAAAATGCAGTCCCGAATTTAGGTTAATATTTTATAAGATTGTTCACCTTCAGCGTTACTAACATTAATGCTAATAAACCTTGTAAATCCTGTGTGGGCGCTATTCTGCACAGGTTTGCGATGAGATATCATTTAAAGCCAGAGAACTATGTTACAATATATATGACACACTCGAAAAATGATTATTTCTTCTGTAAAATCCGGAAAGGCAAAAAACGTTAAACATAATGCATGGAGAAAAGACCCATTACTTTTACAGTTTTTCTATCTAAACAACAAACATCTTTAAAAATTTGGGAAATGGTAGGGCAAAACTCTGTGTTTGTAATTCCAAATGATTAATTTTAGTTTATAAGCGGTTTTGATAGGTCCTAATTTCCTCTCTGACCGGTTGACAAACGATTTTCGATATCGGGTCGGGCATTTGCATTACGTACGTAATAGGACGGGAATAATTCGACGCAAATTACAAATTTGTCCCCAAAAAGCAAACTTCCAACTTTTCTCGAAAAAAGGAAACACGTGCACTGTTTTCTGTGAGAACTTATGGGAGAAAGAAAATAACTAGACACACCTTCGCAGATAAAACGCTGTCAGAAAACGAAGATATGCAATTAGTGGCTCATTTATGGCTGGCAGTGAAGATTCATCTTAGCGTTTATTTGTAGGTACGACTCATTCCGTTGGCCGTAGGACACGCTTTCCTCAAGAAAAAACAAACCAGGTTAAATTTTATGAGATCTCTCTTAACGCCTTGAGGTCAGCATACGGAGAGCAGTTGTTTTCATCGTCGACCAAGGGAATTAAATGCAACAAAGTACCTACCCATATTTCAAATGTGCTCGAAAACTTAACGGACAGTTTTCTATCTAACCACATGATAGAATTTGACGTGTCGTCTTTGCAGGCGGTCATAATGGCGTTTTTCACTTATTTTCTAATTCTTTAGCCGCAGGTCGGACTCTGAATATTGGATCTGGCGAGGACATTTACGCCTGCAGCCTAATCAGCAAGGACATGTGGTAAAACAACATCGCCACGTTAACCAGCATTTCAAACCGCAAAGATGGCGTTTTTCGCATACCAACCTTATAAGCCAGTTAAAAATCTTTTGCTTGCCTTCATCATATAAATTTTAATTGTATCCTGCTCTGATCTCTGATGTCATAAACTGCGTTTAAACAGTAAATAAAACAATCGTAGAATCCATAAATTTTATTGGAGGAAACAATGCCCTGAGAACGCCGTGTTTCGATTTTACTCTAAACTGTCTTTCGTCGTTTTTGAAGAAAGTGAGAGACAAAAATTACCATTAACAGTTAGTAGTTCTGAACCGTACACTCGGGTGCTATCATAAACAGATGAACGTGAAATTGATTTGTGTGTCCACCATTCTCCGTGCTGATTGCAAGCTCATAGGTACGTCACCTTTGTCTAGACAGTGTTTTCAACAAAATGTCGAATCCAATTAAGGATAACAGTAAAGCTTAATCATTTATGTCGGACGTATTTCGATCACAAAGTGAAACGCGTTAAATAATTAGCTGATAGTATTTTCTCCAATCAGATTGGAAAATCGGTTGATAAGCAAATGACTGATGGAAAACTTATTCACTCGATATTTCTCAGCGGTAAAACAGTCAAGTATTTTTAAAAAAGCTGCGTCAAAAATGTATTTGCTGAAAATACATTAATTTTTCTATGTAACGGCGAACGCTTTGTCACCTTTTATGTCGACTTTTATGCATAGCATACCTCTTGTGTCTTCTCTTGAGAGAATATGTGCAGTATATAACTGGAATTTGTAAAAATCCTAATAAAAAGTAGTCTGATTTCTCCACAGCAACTCGTAAATAGAAGAAATTATGAAATTTGGAAAAGGAGGATTAGATGGCCCGTACTCGGTAACTCGGACTGCAATTTTTTCCAGAAATTTGGTCAAATGAACAGAACAGAAGTTTATTATGCAAAATATGTACCAAACCATTATAAAAAATATCGAATGATAAATTTTGTCAAGTTTAATGATCATCGTGGACCATGCCTATTTTATTGCTGAATATTTCTCCTTTAGCGACTAGGTATAAGTGTGAGGTGCACTTCGGGTGAGGTCACAAGCGAATAATCGCGCTCACTTGAGAAAAACGTCCTTCATTTGGCCGATTACGTTTGTAAATATTTGCAAGTTCCTATTTTAAAACGTAGTCCCCATAGCTGCGACCGATATTTTGCATCGTACCAATGATTGCTGAGGATAAACAATTTATCTTGCTCATGCGGCCGCCAATGTAGCTTCAGTGGGCGTTGCTAGAGGCTACAGTGCAGTGAATACTCAGTTAGCAGGGCTATGAAACTGGTCGTTTAAAAAAATAAATTACTCTATTTAGGGTCATACAGTACTTCAGCAGTAGAAGAACGTAAAATCTAGTTTAAAAAATATGTCCCAAAATAAATAGTACAACAACCATATCACCTGATGCGCAAAAAAGGCAAATGAGAATCATCAGGTACGTGTGCGCAATAAATAGTTATTCCATTTTCTGTCTGACCCGTTCCCAAAAATCTATGAATGGCCCGTGAGTTGGGATGGGGATTATAGGAGGTAGTTTATTTACCAAGAAATATGTTTACTTTAGAAGTCAATCGTGACGAATTCATTTTTAAGTTAGCTTGTAAATACGGTTCGTCTATCATCTGTGGAAACACACATCTGTGGGGACAGGGTAGATGGCCCCATCAATGAGGACAATTGCCCATTGAACATTTTGGTTGAAGAAAACAGTCGGCTTTGTTTACACCTCTCCGCTTCCGACTTTCATGTATCGATCGGCGCCAACTACCAAATTCATCGGAAACACCACAACTATCGGATCAGCCTGTTAGCAGCGGTAGACCGATTTTCATATCCGGCTAACGACACATCATGAATTATTAAATTTGATGATCAGATTGCTGACCGAGATTCTACTAGCCCCACTCAGATATAAACTATTCAGTTTGGAGTCCCTGTGACATAATGTTTAGCCCGTAAGTTAGGATTTACGAGACACGGAAACTGTCGGTAATAACTTTCTAGCAGCACATCAGGGATCATTAACGTCGGCATTGAGATCGCTGCTCGAATGTTCTACATTTGTTAATCCTTCTCTAGGACATACTATTCAGTTTGGATTCCCCGTGGCATCAGTCTATCCACGTGACTCAGAAGTTCAGTCTGCTCTACGCTTCGAGGACTCAGACAGTCTATCAAAGCCAAGGGAGAAAATTCACCTACCTCCACGGAAGGTCTTCCATGATGAAACAACGGGAATGGATCTCCGACACACGGGCGCAAGGGGCGGCTGCTACAGTAAGTGGGCTAACTAATGAAATCTCAACAGAAATTCCGAAACGCGTTTTCATTTCGAAAATATTAATTAAGTAGGGTTGTAAAACCAATTCTTGTACAGCATAATTCTATAATGTTTCAGTTACATCCTGACACCGACTTTTGAACGAACTTGTTTCCGGCTACGTGCAAAAACCACACTATGCAAAAAATGCCTACATAAGCAGCATGCACTTTTCTCATTGATTTTCAATGCCCTTGAAGATTAAGTTACATTTCATGAAAAACAAGGACAAAAATATTATTTCTTTTACTCATTCAGCAGAAAGTAACGGCTTCTTCCAATTTTGTATTCAAAGGAAGCGTATAAGTTGGGTTTTAAAAACTTTTTCCGATTCTCGAATAAATATGAACCCGACTTGCCGTTACACTTGCATTCAGGGTTCCCAAACTACAAGTCGTATAATTTCCGCGTACGGTAAACTATACGTTTCTTTGCACTATTGAGAGGAGACCAATCGTATACTCGAAGAAAGGGTATAATTTGGTTTTATAAAACTTTTTTTAATTCTTGACTAATTTTGAACCCGATCTGCAGTAACACTTGCTTTCAGGGTTCCCAAACTACAAGACGTATAATTTCCGCGTACGGAAAACAATACATTTATCTACGGTATTAAGAGGAGATTATATGGGGTTCATAAAATGAAGCTGTGGATTTGGGCCACATTGTTAACTTTACAAGCCACGTTGGTAAATGCAGAGGCATGACGTTTTATAAAGGGTCATTTCACGGTATTAAAAATCTCACAATTAGAATCTTTTTTAAAACCAACTTAAACCCTTCTTTCAATTATAATATTGAAAGAAGACGTTATTGTCTACTGACGGAGCAAAAGAATGAATATTTTTATGCATTTTCACATGAAATATAATTGCATATTTAAGGGCACCGGAAACAAGTGAAAAAATGCATGCTACTCAAGTAGTCACCTTTTACGGAGTATGGGTTTTGGATGCAGCCAGTGTAAAATTTGTTTGAAAGCCTGCATCCTGAAGTAACTGAATTATTATAGAATTATACTGCAAACTGATAATTTTACAAGCCTACTTCATTAATCTTTTCGAAAGGAAAACGCATTTCGGAATTTCGGTTCACAATTCATGAGTTAGCCCACCTACAGTATACTGAAGGAGATCCAACTAGGATGGACCAGCCAGCATGTGAGGGTAACTGACGAACGCCTACCCAAATGACTCTTATACAGAGTCGTCGTTGTGGACGCCCACAGTCAAGCTAGGATAGGTGACACAAAAACGACCCAGGAAGCGCCTGCATGGAACAGCCGTAGAATTGATGTAGGCGTTTTTGAAGTCGACCAAATGCCGTCTACCATGGCGGAACAACAGACACGGAAGACTGAAATCATACGGGACGGCGTCGCCAATCGCTAACCTCCCACCATCTCCACACTGTAAACGCACGCTCATAATCTAGATTGGTTTTGTTGAAAGTCGCCGCTATCACTGAAATATCAACATGTCCATGGAACCCTCTGGATAGCAAAACACCGTCTCATTCGCCAATATAGAAACCCATCTCAGATGTTTATGCCTCAACATCGCGTTTGCGTCTCCCTTCGTGCTGACTGACCCACTGTTGAGATACCCTCGGGGCACAGCGGACAATCACTAGCAGTTCGGACTTAGTGTAATGTTGTCCACGCTCTGAAATCACGCATCAGACTGGTTGGACATCTGGCAATCCATGGCAACACGACTTGAGAATCCGTGACTAGAACCGCGTCCAGCACACGTCACGAAAGCCATCCTCCGTTACACTTCGCCCACTCATTAAGCTACCTCATGACCCCTTCCATCAGATACACACGTATGAGGAGGACCACCGTAATACCAGTCGCCATTTCCGCTCACATTGCTCACGCGTATCCTCAGCAGAGACTTCCTTAATCATATACTCACACATTACCCGACAGTTTGACTGTCGATTCCGACGTTGTCAACGTGTGCTGCACAGCAGTGTACAGTAGGCACGGTGTTTGTACGTGAATCAGTTTAGAGTGATAGTGAACTTGCGCATCATCTACGGCACTTTCCCCTCCTCCTCCTCCTTCACCTGTAGCCGGTGTCAAATCAGAATTTAAAAGGCCGTAGGCGGCGAAGGGCGCCGGTGGCTGGCACGGCCGGGCGGGCGACAAAGCGGCACACCACACCCCCTCATCCACAAAATACACTTGACCAGGATTCTTTATTGACAAAAACAACAGCACCCCAACAGGGGTCAGAAGGACGAGCATGACTGGCAGTCGTGCCTACCACCTGAATATCCAGCGGGAGCGCAAGCGCATCTACCGGCAGGGAACCAGGCGTCAGGGAACGTCCGGCGCATACCAGGCTGCGAGGACCATGGCTTGTTGATACTGGTAGAGCGCACGCTTTTAAACCTTTTGACCCTACACATTATCCAGCACTCGCCCCTCGAACCCACAGTGACGTTTTCCAAAGTCTGTTATGACGCGTAGCATTTCCACCTCTCACTTACCCTCACTGATCCCAACGAGCAAACGGCGTATGAAAGAAGGAATAGGGAGAGAGATAAAGCAAGCCGGAACGTGCTAGCATCCAGCGCTTAGGCTTGTCGATACAGACCACCCAACGGGCTCTGGACTGCTTTTAACGAGGAGAGAAAGGCTGTTAATTGATAGGATAAGTTGGTCTTGCCCGTAAACTCGAACCAAACTGTAACGGTCTCATCTAACTGCGGTCTCTTGCACTCCCACTTACGGGAATCCCAAGTGAAATTTAGTTCCTGCGGAACTTGGGACCGGGTCGTGCGTATGGCACGTGTAGATTAACCATTGGAGGTTTATTAGAAACTGTGTGGCTAAGCGCATCTCCGATCTGCTGACTCTAGCCTGCCAGCAAAAAGTAGTGGGCTTGGGATGATAATAAACTCTTCTTTCCATCAATGAACTTCGAACAAGTTAAAACTAAATGTACAGCAGGTGGACTAACTAATGAACTGTCAACCGAAATTCCGAACTGCGCTTTCGTTTGGAAAAGATTAACTAAGTAGGGTTGTAAAAATAATCGTCGTGCAACATAATTTTTTCACAGTTCAGCTCCTTCGGGATCCCAGTTTTTGAAAAAAACTTCTTGCCGGCTGCAAGCTGGAACTACAATCTGTAAGAATGACTACTTAAGCTTTCGAATGTACTTCCTTCTGGCTGCATGCAAAAACTACACTCTGTAAAAAATAGGGACTCATGTAGCATGAATTTTTCTCATTGATGTTCAATGTCCCTTAAAGTCTAAATATATTTCATGGAAAACATGCATAAAAATACTCATTATTTTGCTCATTCGGTGGACAATTACGTCTTCTTCCAATCTTATATTCAAAGAAAGAGAATGATTCGGTTTTCAAAAATCTTTCTATTTCCCGAATAAGTTTGAACCCGCTCTATCGGTACACTCAGCTTCAGGGTTTCCAAATTGCCAGCCGTATATTTTCCGCGTATAGAAAACCACACACTTCTCTACAGATGTAAAGGAGGTCAATATAGGGTTTATAAAAGTAAGTTGTGGATTTAATCCATATATTTACAGGCCACATTGAGAAATACAGAGACATGGCGATTTATGAACGACCATTTCACGGTATTTAAACGTCTCACACTTAGAAACTTTTTTAACTCGAATTATGTTCCTCCTTCGAATAAAAAATTAGAAGAAGACGTAATTTTCTACCGAGCTCTGTTAGTTAAGGCTCTTTTATGTTTCGGTGGAGTATTACGAATATTCTATGCGCCATCGGTTGGAGTAGTGCCCACCACTTGCTGATACGCGCATAATGTCTAATCAAAATCAGTCAGGTTTTCAAAATAAGTTCGTAGGAAGGACAGGCAGGGGGGAAGAATCAAATGACGCTAGCGATAGCGTAGCGCGCTACATTCCGCAGGCTTTGACTAGTCCAGGGCCCTAAGCCCAACCCTGGCACCAACGCTTACCTTAGCCCTTATTCCAAACCAAACCTTAAGCCTAATCCTCTTTGAAATGTAGCGCGAGGAAACCTGTAAGGGTCCACGTTCCAAAAGTTGGGTTCCCGTTTTGCTTACTCTCCCGATGTTACGGTGAAAACGAGGCTGTTCCACAATGTCAAAATTAGAATGCAGAATGACGATGATTGTTAGTAGACCTTATCTTGCCGTCCTTTTACCAGATGATTACCCGAGTACACTGGATCATAAGGTTTTTGCAAAGGAATACCGTCAGACTCAGTTAAATTAGCCACCTGCCAGTTCCACAACCATATAAACATCATGATATTGCCCTAGGTACGTACATGTGTATGCATTTCACTTAATTACTGAGTTACTACCTACTTCGGTAATCGTTGGCGCTTTTAGTGACGCTAATACTTAAGTTTTAAAAACCGATAAAGCAAGTAGACACTCAAAGCTTACACGGAATTCATTACTGGTCACGAAGCAGGGCAGTTTACAGCAGTAGGAGGGCCCGGTTATTCTCAGCACTGTGCAGTTCTCGCTGTCAATGATGCTCCATCTCGGTTCAGGGCAGTGCGGTCTAAAACGCAGAAAGATATGCTTTGGCGACTATATTCCTGCAAATAACGTAGCCGTAATTTAGAGGTATGAGGATCCAGAATTCTGACCACGCCTGTTACGTAGTCCTACTATGACGCCTTTCAGTTTCATTTTGGGGGATAGAATAAAATTGTCCAAAGTGGGCTTGGCGGGGACCCCGCATCTTCACTTCTACGTTCATCCATACACCGTTGTATGGGACAGTTGTACTAATGGCATAATTAGTAGTTGCCTAAACCACGCAAAAAACAGGGAACTCTATCTTTTTATCAAAGATATAAAGGAGGACGTGCGCTTGAAGACGGGCCCCTCACCTGGGGATGGACAGCGCTTTTTCGACAGCATTATTCGAATAAAATGTAAACCACGGCGATTGAATGTGAATGGAACTGCAATGACTCTTCCCTTATCTCTGTCTCATGTAAAATGCGTAAAAAGTTAGTTTTTACGATCGCTTTTTATTATGTTACAAAGGATTGCATCCTCGCCGTCGCATTTGGGTGTCTCGAACAATATAGGCTTAACACTTGGTGGGTATGGAATATAAATTAGACGTCCCATTATAAGCCTTTCCCAGTTATGTAGTTGCTAAAGTCCACTTATTTTTCTTTGGAAAAAATAAATAATTTGCCACGGCTTGCGGACAGTTGTATGGGTGTAAAACGGCGTGCGAAGGGAATTTAGAGCTTTATGGACTGGGTCTTTCGGTGCAGACGACGCTACATTGCGTGGAAATTTGAAAAATCAAGCATTTTGCAAAATTTATTTCTCTTATGGCATTTTGCCTCCAAAATTCAATGATTGGTCATAAGGGCCTTTCATTTTGGCCGCATGTAAGAGCCTTCCTTTGATGTAATGAGCACGACATCACTGAAGTTTCCGTCCTTTATTCAAACGTTTGTCTGAATAGCAGTAAGAAATCCCAACAGTCCCTCCTTCATTTATCAAGCGAGCGATAGACAGTTGTCTACGTATATCTGGTCGTGAGTGATATGTCTAATCGCTTAATGCTTAGGAACCTGCATGGACAGTTCCATGAGTTTTGAAGGAAGAATTATTTATCAAACATTCTCTGTACGTTTTTAACGAGGAAACGGCCCGAGCCACTAAGATAACGCCGATACAAATAATGAATTATATAATAATAACTATGATATAACGTAATATAATAAACATAGTATTATAATATAATAGAAATATATTATATGATATAAATATATGGATATCGTATTTCGGCAAACGGCCGACAGCTAGTGTGGAGCGGTCCTACTTTTTCTAAACTTGTGAAGTTTGACGATGAACTGAAAACACAAGAAACATGACACAATTTCGTCCGATTTAAAACACCAAAATTTGCATACTCTTAAATGTCTTTGTCCGTTGGACTGGGTTGAAATCAGAGATGGATTTTCTCTGAACGTGCCCAGGCATACGCCGCCCCAAGAAATCAGTGGACATTATCAGCACTGCAAGAGCTTTACTGTGCACTGTTCCAAGAACTCAAAGTTAAGTCGGAACGCGTGATCTCCGCCTTGCTGTTGGGTCAGTTAACAAATTTCGTCATAGCTCTTTAAGCCCGAAATATTCTGACTGCAAGGCGCAGGACACGGGTTGTGAAGTTGGAATACAAACGGCCGCTCATTTAAACCTAGATGAATTATGCGATCTTGCTGTTCAGAGCTGACATAGGAGGGACATTCAGTCTTACGTAAGATTAATACTAGATTTTCTGGTTGCATTTTGTAAATAAAGAGACCATTGTGTCTTTTTTGAATGTAAACAACATGGAAAAACGCGAAAAGACGTAAGAAGCTGTGTTGATATTATAGTAAGGAGAATCTGTCTAGGAGAGACTTAATGCACTTAGACCGCTCAGTCCAATTTTAACGAGTATCTAAATATCATCATTTAGAGCTGTTTTGCATGGCTGGCTTGGGGGGGTTTGCGAGGACCGTTCATTTTGACATAGGCAAGTTGTTCTAGAAATTGTTATACAAGGGCTAAATTACTTGTCAGTCAACTTCCACCCTGTGAGTAAAGTACATTATAACAGGGCCATTAAGCGTGTCCCCAATGTGTTAACTGAAATTGAGTGTACATTATTCATACAGGTCGACGCCTACAGACTCTTTTACGAGCACAAGTTGGCCTACCGTAGACTTTACTGTTTCTTCCCCACACTCCAATCAATGTGCCCGCAAAGTGGTCGGCATACAACCGTTTGGATGGCTCATCGAGGCCGGGTACTTCAACGCAGACTGGACCAGTCGTCTTGGCAACATTTATGGCAGTTTGTCAGTGTGCTGCAGTGGGCCTGAAGGCTCTCAATGGAATGATATTGACATTTCGCCTAGATCTAGCCAACACTTTGTCCATCGCTGCAACTCACGCATTTTTCCGGACTGTCATGATTATCCGGACTAATCTCAAAAAAGACATCTGGCCAAAACCTATATTTCGATTCGCTCACCGATTCGTCATCCTCTTGTACCCCTCGTGAACCTTGTCCCAGCTAGGTACATCATTATTCAGAGTTGGTAGTTCTTCGTATGGTTTCCTGCTCGTCCGTCCTGAGTGCAATAATTATGTCTCTCAGAGTTTCAATTTGGCACGAGAATATAGCCCCTATTCAATCCCAGGGGAGCGCGCGGTTGGGGTCAAAATTAGGCTATCCCCTTAAAATTAAATGCAAGGCCACCTGTAATAGGAAGGTTAGATGCGTCAAAGATGCGTCAAACGAACACGCATCAACCGGGCTGCACAATCTGCGTAGCCCAAAGCAAACGCTACATATGTGCGCATGTGGTGGCACACCTACGTTCAGACCCAGGCCGCGCCAGTCGCTTGCTTCCACTCCCCACATCAGATGGCTGACCGATTCGATGAGCGGCCTGGTGCCCAGGAGAGGAAAGAGAGAATAAGGCTGGCTCTGGGGTACCCATCTCCACGGCACTTCAGCGCCTTCATCACTATAAAACTATTCTGGCACGCTTTAAATCTATCGCAAAGAAATAAGGGCCTTGGCTGGGAAGGCTGTCTACTAAAAAGATGTCTCGGTCCTTCACGGGACGGCGAGTTAGGTTGCAATGGCCTTTTCTCCATTCGGGGTTTATTACATTCTCACCTATGCGAGATCCGAGTTAACTCTGTTGCAGCCGATGCATCCGGAGTGGGAACCTAGCGGTATGCATGTTACGCACAGATTGACTGGAACTGAATGTCGTTCAACCCGCTGGTAGCGCTATGATGTGCCGTCAGCTATCAGTCTGATAACGCAACATTTCCCTCACTTAGCGTATTTATGCCCTATTTGAGAAATGTTAGGTACTGAACTCATTGGTTTGTTTAATTCGGTCAACTTTATCAGTCCTCATTGCTGATGCGGTACTACAAATTCTAGACGCGCTGAGTTATGATCGCTATGGATAAAATTGTAAAAGTCGTAGGTCGTTGACTTGTTATGTTCATACAGCGAAAATTGACTAGAAAGTTGACTCCACATCTGAATGTAATTTTTCCAGACACCCAATTCAGGGCTAAACATGACGTAGATGGCCACTCTTAGACGTGTCAGTGAGACCTGGGAAATTTAAATGCTTGCTTGCAGGAGGAATCTCCCAGTTGTAACAACAATCACCTTATTTTACGCAAACTTGCAGTTGTTCGCTCTCAAGGTCATCAGCGTGGCTGTTTACTCATACTGCCATCGGTTGGCCTGGGACATGTGCCAAGCACAGCATGTGCGCGTGTGTGACTCCGCCTTCGGCCTGCCAACGCCGTGTCGCCGATCGATTTCTTTGTTCTGATCGATTGGTCGCAGCCACACAAAGCTCCGGCGTAAGTAAAGCCAATAGCACCGGGACTTAGGTGGCCCGTTAGAACGCCTGCTGCCTCCGCCTAATGAACTGAATGTACGTTCACTTGCCGCAGTAAAGTTTGTCCGAAAATTCTGCCTTTCACAACTTGTGATTTGGGATTCGTTCAGATGTGGTTATGTAGCCCCACCTGAAATAAACAAACCCCAGCCACCTGTAATACGGGATCGGCGGCAACAGGGGTTTTTACAGGTGGGGCGGGGAACGCACAGCTGAACTTTGAGTGGTTCGGAAATAGTTGTCCTAACCCCTAACCTCTAAAACCGACCACCAATCCGAACCTCTAACTCTAACCCCTAACCCTAACTCCTAGCCCCAACCCCAACAGTATTGTGTACATCAAGTGGTCTACATAACCATATCTTACCTGGGATTCTCCGAGCTGTCGACCATCGAACGTCGGCAAACTCCGATGCATTGGGAGGTCAATTCGAGTTGACTGTGTTTTGTGGCATTTCTGTTTCTTCTCTATGCTCCTATATTCCGTTCACATCTAAGCCACCTGTTTTTGTTATTTTTACAAATTCCTGAGTTTGACGCTTCTGTACATGGACTTCGTAGGATTTTTGACTGATCATCAAGTGTTCAGGCATTCTGATATTTTTGTGTTCGCCCACTTTGCCTATGTACGTGTACATTCTCCTTTGTTTCACCCACATTTGCTTCCGTTTTCTGTCATTATGAAGTCAAGGATAGGAACATTCACTTAGGAACTCTAGGTAAAAATTATCAGATTAATGAATTGTCGGTTCATATGACTTTGAATAGCTTCATCTGGAGTTGGCAGGATGACGGCCTTATGCCTGTGGTAATGGCGAGTTTGGCGCGAGTGTTCTATGATAAACTGTATCAGCTAGTAATTGCAAAGGAATAAGATATAATCAGCCATGCGGGTATCCATTGTTATGGTCAGTGTGTCATTGCTAGTCATTGCGTGACGACCAAGCCATCTTTAAATTCAAGCTCTGAGGTAGTACCAATCGATAAAGTGTCATCTTCGTTATGAAAGGAAATTATGCATTTGATCAAACCATCTCGCGTGACCTTTGGAGCCATCGACACCAGCGAGCTCGTCCGACTAAAGCCAGATGACGACTTTCCGAGTATAAGCATGTGTCTTTCACCTAGACAATCGCGGCCCAAGCAATGCAACAATATTCCTTACCTGTTACGATCCACTCCGCAAATTTACCTACCCGGCCACGTCTTCAACGGACAGTTAGTCGTTTGATCAGGAACTTGGCTTGTAAGATGCGCCCTTTCGGGATCCAGGCATGTTTAGTTCGGCCACGTTCTGAGCCTCAATATGAAGCAGCTTGGCTCTGTAATTGTGGATGATCTTACACTTACCAGCAAAAGAAATAGTCTTCCTAGTTCTCCATTCCTTGCCGTAATATAAAATAGATTCGCATTTGCCTTGTTTAATTTTCGAGGAAATTAATGCGCGAAAATGGAGTAAATCTTTCGGGACAGACCTTTCCAGAGGCTGTCCAAACTTTTTTGTGAATATTTCAGCTGGAATCCATCAGCTACTGCGGAATAGCCGCGTAATATTCACAAAGCGCAAACAGGCAGTCAGTAATATCAAATTGTGTAATTATTTGCCGTACGAACGACACAGTTATTAGCTAATACCTGCGTTGTTAGTACGGTAAATAATTACATAATAAATTCGCACTGTCCACCCACCTTAGTGGCAGCAGAAACGACGGTTGTTGCATATCTTTTACCCCCACTGTCTCTTATGGCACGCCTATCTGAACTCCCGGAACTGACAGATGATGGTGCGTGCTCTCAGCCCTGTTGTTCTCCAATGCCACAAACTATCTGATCCCACCCAGTACCTAGCTATACTCTGTAAAAAAAGGTTACTTAAGTAGCATAAATTGTTCCCATTTATGTTGGATGCCCTTAAAAATTCAAATCTGTTTCGTAGAAAACGCGCACAGAAATATTCGTTCTCTCACTTGTTTGGTAAAACATTACGTCTTCTTCCAGTTTCATGTTTAAAAGAGGGGTATAATTCGTTTTTTAACAACTTTCCCCATTCCTGAATAATTTTTAATCAGACCTGCCGTTACGTTTGCAATCAGGGTTTCTTTACTAGAAGTTGCATATTTTCTTTGTACAAGAACTCATATATTTCTATACTCTGTTAAAAAGAGACCATTTCGGGTTCAACAAATTTAGCGATGGATTTGAGCTATGTTGTTAACTTTACAAAAAACATAAGTAAATGAAGAAACACGGTGTTTTATGAACGGGCATCTCAGAGTTTTAAAAATCTCGTAGACGCCCTTTTGAAACCGAAATATACTCTTTCATTAAGTATAAAAATTAAAAAAGATGTAATTTTCTACCAAATGGGTAAAGGAATAAATATTTTATGCGCATTTTCTACGAAATATATTTAAACTTTCAGAGGCATCCAAAATCAATGGGAAAGCCCATACCGCTTAAATACTCACTATTTGCAGGGTGTAGTTTTTTGCATGTGGCCGGAACGAAGTTCGTTCGTAAGCCGGCATCTCGAGGTAACTGAATTCTCATAGAATTATGCTGCATGTTGATTAATATTACAACCCCACTTAAGTAATCGTTTCGAGATGAGATGTTATTTCAGTAGTTCAGTTAGTATTTCATGAGTTAGTACATCTACTGTACTCTACGTCTTCGCTTAGTATTCTAAAGTTTAATACGGGTAGATGACTATCCTACTGCCTCCAGTCCAGGCCGACGCCGTCCGATGCACTCGCCTTCGCATTGTAGGCGCGGTTCGCCAGACCTGACCGCGGACTTTCTTTGGCGGAAAGTTTTCATTTGTCAGAGAATCCCCAAAGTCACCCTAGGTGCAGGTATGAAGATATTCGCAGCGTTTCAATTGGTCCAGTCTGTCCAAAAGCCATGCACTGATTATGTTTAGACCTCAGAATAGAGAGATATCAGTGACAAGGCGGGGGAATGATGCAATGCTGTAATTGTAGAGGGTTCTCACCGATCGTTTCTACGGAACGCACTCGTCCCGTTATGCCTTAAGGTTCTCTCTCGAGCCCAACCAGCAGTCGCACAACTTCGCAGTATATAGGCAGAATGGCATAACCTACAAAGATAAGAGAGACTGAAATGGTCATTTCTGGCTTATAAGCCCTCTTCAGCCAGTCATTTCCAACACGGAAGTGTGGAACACCCGAGGCTCGAACTCGCGACCTGTTAGTTAGAAGTCCAACGCCTTTACCCACTGGGCCACAGGCCCTTGTCTTTGTCGGTAATACCATTCTGCCTAAATGTTGTAGTAAAGGCAGAAATCCTAAATGTTCTGTCCCGAGGAATGAATGCGAAAGGAAGGGAGGGAGGTGGGTTCCGGCAGAAACTTCTTTATTCTACGGGTCCGAGTTACGCGATCAACGGCTCGCCAAAACTGGCCTCATTTATTGAACTCCAAAGGGTTCCAGAACATTCTGGTCTCTGGTGTACTGCAGTTGGATTAGCTGCCTCCCGCACAAGAACCCTCTCAAAGAAAACTGTAAAATCCTCGGCTGGTCATCAATTGGACCACACTCGTGAGCTAGCGCATCACGCTTGTCCGAAGATGAACTCCGCGTTCATTGGCTAACTGATTTCGCGACTGACTTAGCCTGCTGTGTCGGGCATGGTCGTGTTTTCCATTCGCCCATTGGACGTGACCCCATTGATTTTCCGTTCTCTATAATGTTAGGTGACTCCTGGGCAAATACTGACGGCGAGAACTGGCAGAACTGACCAGTGACAGGTGCCGGGAAGGAATCGCGGCAGGGATTCCAGTCAGAAGATAACTCCAATAACAGAAATGGCAAACAGACCTCACTCTACACTCCTCTACTTCATTCCAATGCCTAAGGTAGAGTAATTTTCTGGAACACTTTAAATCGTCGCTCATATACAGACCGGCCCGATGACAAACATCCAAAGCAAGTTTGTTGGAGAAAGGATGAATAATCTTTAATATTTGATTATCGATCGCATTGTAACGTTGGTACGCCTTACTCACCAATGGTCGTTGTTCAGACACCTCACCCACTAGATTCCGAAGACTTTCTTTAGCTACTCCAGTGAGTTTTTTTTTTGCTATCGTCAAGGTAGGGGACTGTTTCGGACGCGGATGCATAACTGCGATGCACGCTTATCTTGGTAATGGCTCTATAAATTCAAACGGGACTTAAAGCTTATTAATGCATGACGACTTCGGAATTGGGCCCCTGAAACAAAGCGGAAGAAAAACCACTCGCTGATGTGTAAGAGATTGAAAACTTCCAATTTCAGTCCTGCACCTGAAGAAAAGCATGAGTGTGCAGAAAATGTACTCGGCAATGTCTCCCCGCTTACCACCTGCCTAGAAGATTCAAGAATGAAAACATCCCAGGGTAAGTCATTCTAGCGTTTCAATTGACATCAACTATCCAAACCGGAGGGAGATTTTTGCATCTCCTCATAAGTTACTTTAAATGTCCACCGTAAATGCCCAGACATGGACAGACGTGTGAGAAATGTCCGAATCAAAGTGCCGGCATACCGCGTCAGAAAGAATCGCCAAACCTGTGGGTCAAGTTGAGACTGGACCGACGGCCAACAATTCCCAAAAGCTGTCCGCTGCACAAATCGTTTAATGCTGACTCCAGATGCAGAAGCCTTGAGTGTTCAACGGTGACCACTTACCTATTTTTGGAAAACAATCCCAAGAAATCCTAGAAAAACCCAATATTACTGAAATCGTCCGGGTAAAAATACATTCCGTGCATGCGTTTCCCATCTTAAAAAACTCATAGGGTTTTTATTCGTTTGCAAATTTGGATGGAAATTTCAACATCCACATGCTATATCAAACAATTTTATCTGCACCCGGATCGACTCAAAACACCCCTCTTGTCGGTAAAGCCATGGTGAGAGGAATGATCGTCTCTAAATCAAGGCCAAATCGGGCCTGTTATGATCTCACCAGGTTCTTGAATCAGCAATATTTTGTTGACCTTTTTGCGGATCAAATTGTCAATTTTCTTCCTCTCTTATTGATAAGTAGTTATTGGATGTTGATAATGACCTCATGAATAGTTTAGGGTCAATAACTTTTGATACACACAGGTGAAAAGCGCATTGTGGACAGCACATGAGGGCATAAGTATCAAATTACTCAGGTTGGGGTTACTAATTTTTGCTCGAACGTTCCAGCCCTTATCTTAGATCTACGAAACAATATCCGGCAGTCAGTAGAGCGCAAAACTCCGGAAGTGGACTTGTTTTATCATGCTCAAACTGAAACTGAAACTGAATGAGCTTGTTCAAATGTTGCCAATAGAGAGCTCGTCCAAAAATTATTATTCTGCTAACAGCCAAAAACATTAACAAATACTTTGGGTTTCATTGTCGGCTGGCACTTTCTGGACAGCCCATGGACACCAACGTTTTCTATCAAGAGGGCTCAGGTATCATCAGATCCCCCGATTAGGGCCGTAATTTTGCAGCCTAAAATCCCGTACTGTCAACTTGACTGTCCGTAATGCTATTTCGTTCAATGCAACCGTCAGGAATCCGGCTTCTTTCTGAATGTGCCGAAATTCTCTTGTAGTTTTCAAAAATACTCTAACTGTAGACTCCGATGTGTGCGACCGTGGTCGCAACATGCAGCTGAAACCACTGATGAAGTGCTCGCCAATGATTTTGACTGCTATTTAACGGCCGATTGCACTTCCGCAATTAAAACCATAAGACTTTTCTCTTGACAATTTTAGATCGCATAAAAATGTCCCGGGGTAAACTTAGGATGTATTACTGAAAAAACACCGATCGAGATCTCAAAGGGCTGCAGACTACGACCAATCCAAATAGGAGTTTCATAAAAAAATAACGACAGAGGAAGACTGTCATGGCCATTTCCGGCTTATTAATATTTCGGCGTTATTACCCCCAACACTCTACTACTGGGCCAAAGGCCATTGTCTTATTAGTTACGATCGATAATGGTGACGTATAATGGAGGTTTCGTCAGCGGTCGGGTTACGGGTACGATAAAATTCTGAGGTTGAATATGGCTGGTTGTCGACAACTAGTAAGGCAGAAGTGAGCATTTCAACTTGTCTTTGTCGGCACTGCTATTCTGCCTATATTACTAGCCGCTGTGCGGCTATTCCAGGAGCCTCAAGGCATATCCCGTGCTGTGAACGCATTTCCAATGTATGCAATCATACTATCTGAAGTCCAAAAACCTCCTTCTATACAAAAACTGTCCTAGATGTATGCTACCTCTCTCGCTATCAAAATAATTAATGGGCGATGCGGCAGATTTTGAGTAATTTATTTTGGCCCAACTGCTAAAAACCCGACAACCTGGGTGGAGGGCCGCCGAGTTTTTTCGGTTCGGTCAAAATAAATTATGCAAAATCTGCCAAAACACCTATTACTTACGTGAGCCAGGTAGCCGTCTGGAGGATTTTAGATTTATAGCTTAGTATAACCTGCTGGGGTGGTCAGCTTAGTGAATCAGATTTAGTGAGTTCGATAGGTTGCAGTAGGCTAGGCGAGTAACTGGACTCCATGCTTTCAAGAAATTCCCGTCCACTCGGGGTTTTATTCGATCGGAGACAAGTCCGGTAGGGAAATTGATGAAGGTTCAAATGTGCTTAAAAGGAACTTTATGTCAGCCGTATTTCAAGTCGAGCTTTCCGCAAAAAATAATCGATAAAGAGATCGCTCCAGCAGGAATCTTTAGGACCCAATTACGTTACTCATATCTTCCTTACCAACTAACCTTTCTGTTAACAAAAGGAGTGTACATCCAAAATCCCCCCTTCTTCATGTATTCGAAAAATCACAATTTTTGACACTTGAAAACGTCGCCAATAAGGTCAGTTTATGTCCGTCTTATGTGTCACGTAATCTACTTGAGGACAGTTAAAGGTTGTATCTTAACCTAAATCAGACATTTTCAATAGAGATGTGACTAAAAATCCTCAGAAAAGGAATTCAAGTGGGTTGTCAAATCCACTCAGCCTCTGATCTCCCGGATTTATTTAAAACCGCGCCAGCGACTGGAGCTGAACCTTTGTCTGATCGAAACTTTGTGAACCAGAGTGGGAGAGAGGGGGTTCCGAGCGAGAGTCACAAGGCCCAACAGCTTAAAGGCCCCCTAGGGCATACCAAGTTGCCGCAGAAACGTACTCCTGTTGCACGCGTCCAATGACCTGGCCCGGCGGGGATTCCACCAGGAGGGACTGCATGAAACGCTCCGAGCAGTCGCAGCGGTGCAGCAACCAGCACAGAGCACGCCGGCAGGTGGCGGCCAGCGAGGTGGGAGAGAGGTTCCTGCGACCGAGTCCTCGCCGTCTGAAGTCTGACTCCTCCTGCTTTTCCGCCTCCCCCTCCTCAGCACAGAATCCCCAGCAGAAGCAGCAACAGCAGAGATGACAGGAGGCGAGACTGACACCGCAGCTAAACTGACGCGTTGCTCTGGCCACCTCAAAGTTGTGTCCGTCCAGCATGCGTATTACGAAAGACCGCTGGTGGCCGCAGCACTGACGGGAGCAAATGTCCGATTCTAGAAAAGCAGATGGTTCGCATGAGACAATGGAAGTGGGCGTACCCACCACCAATAGAAAAATCAAACCGGCGGTTCATGAGCTGGTTAAGGAGGGTTCCTTAAAAAAGTACACTGAAAATTCCCTAATTCAAATTTCTTCCATTATTAAGGAAAACAGAAAATGCTTAGAGCCTTCAGGAGTTTGTTTTCAAGGAGTCAGAAATATGACTAAATCCAAAGATGTAAGAATTCCAAATATTTTTAGGCACAGAAATAACAAGAGAACCTAAGGATTCGGCCTCACATATGGAGCATTACATTGTACATTACTTCTTTAGTACTAAGCCCAAGTGTGGTTTACTGAGCCTCAAATTAAACTACTACCGTTATAGTGGTAGCGGGCGCTCACCGATCGTTCATACGGAACTCAGTCGTTCCGTTGTGCCTTAAGAGCTCTCTTTCGAGCCCAACCAGCAGCCGCACAGCGGCGCATGATATATAGGCAGAATGGCATTACCCGACAAAGACAAGGGAGACTGGAATGGCCATTTCTGGCTTATTAGCCGTCGTCAGCCAGCCATACCCAAACCCGAAGTGTGGAACACCCGAGCCCGGTGGGTAGAGGCGTGGACTTCTAAACCAACAGGTCGCGAGTTCGAGGCTCGGGTGTTCCACACTTCGGGCTTGGGTATGGCTGGCCATTCCAGTCTCCCTTGTCTTTGTCGGTAATATCATTCTGCCTACTACCGTTATATATCAGGATGACGCAATTCGTCCTCCGCGGGTATCCGCGGTTCATATATCCGTGAAATTACTCAGATATTTGGATAAAACAAGATACTTTGATCGCTGCCTTACAGGTGTTTGAGTAAAATCACCAGCTGTCTTCTTGTCTGTATACAGTTAGATAAGATGTACTGATCTTTAGTGGATAATTGAAACACTTCGTCATCCGTGAGCAGCGCACGACGGCAGAGAAGCGATGTGAAGGCCAAACAGAGCACTGAGTCTGAAACTAACGTAACCGGGCGGAAACAGAAAATAAGACTGATTATGTTAAGATGATACCATACTAAAGCACAGGTACTAGCCAAAAGCCCATACACGCGTGTTTCGCTGATGTTTTGCCGCTGCATGGCGCAGCTGCGAGGCGTTCGGCTCGTCATTGGGTTCCCTAGCATTCCCCGTGTATTTTCTGGTAGATGCTCCAATTTAGAAATTGTCGCTTTTCAATTCCCTCAAAAATTATCTACGAAGTTGGAGTAGACCAGTTTATTAAAGGTCTATAGGAGTCTATAGAAAACACGTGAGGAATGCTGGGAAACTCAATGGCGAGCCAAACTCCTGGCAGCTGCGTCATGTAGCGGCAAAACATCGGCGGAGCACCCGCGTATGGGCTTTTGGCTAGTACCTGTGCTGTTAGTATGGTATCACCTTACCCTAAAGTATACTACTAACTTCCTGTCGGCAGTTAATGAATATTACGCGGTCACCCGCTGTGTCTGATGGATTTTGACCCAAATATTCATGCATAAAATTCGCCATCTGAGCCTATGGACCTTGAATAAACTTATCTACTCCAACTTCCTCGATAATTTCTGAGGAAATTAGAAAGCGACAAGACTGGTTATTTTGTTTCGACTAGCAAACCTCCAGACTATCGATTGTTCACTTCTATGCGACGGCCAGCGAGCGTTCTACGACGGGGAATTTATTATAGAATTAAGTCAGATATCTAAAGGTTGCATATATGTGACTCCAAATATTCGAGAACACTGAGAACGAACAGTGGGCCTGCGGCTCAGGGTGGGATCGATAGACTGTGGACTGATCAATGCAGATCCCAACGCCTAATGTTTCGATTTATCGCCGGCTAGTTCCTGTTTTTCACACCTATAAACACTCAGCCCAATACGGGTGGGGGATGGTGACGTGCGCCTGAATTTGTTTTTAGCGGTAGTGGGCTTGCGCTTCATCTACCACACTCCCTCCATCCTCACCCACCGGATCCCAGTGTCACAATACAGTAAGAAAAGCGAAGGCCCGTCTACGCGCGCCACGCACGTCTCGTTCGCTCACGAAGGACCAGTTTTTCATGCAACTAACGAAGAGAGGCCACTCTGCTCCCAAGTGAGTGGCAGTGCTATAAAGACCATACTAAGCGGCCACTGCAGTCTAACTCGTCGTCTTGAGAGGAGGACCGAGTTATCTCGTCAGTCAGTCATGGGAAATGTGCGCCGAATGCCGTGATTACTTCCACTCCCGAGTCAACTTCACTGTCTCCTCTCTTGCTCCTCGGCAGCAGTCCATTATGCGGGCCGGTCAGTCGTCTGATGCGCAGATTGAAGGCATTTGGCTGGCAGAGTTAAACAGTCGGTCTGCGCCCGACAGGAGTGACCTAAATCCCCCACAAAGCACACCACTTTTTAGCACAAAGAGGTGCTTAGTTAGGATTTCACATGCGTGAAAGTGCTTCATTGAGCCTGATTTACGACTCACTAGACGTCCATTCTATGGCAGTTCGACCGTCGTATCCGACAGTGTCCACCATGTGCTCCACAGCAAGATGAAGCAGGCAGGGTGACATGCGTAGGGATTAGTTTACAGTGAGGGTAGACTTGCATAGCATCTACCACACTGTCTCCTCCACCTGACCCCCTTGTCAGGAGACAGTCAAGCAGACCAGAGGCGGGAGAAGGCGCAGGTGGCTGGCACGGCCGAACCCACATACACCACAGCCCCTGGTCCACAACAAACATCTGGCCAAGATTTTAACCAAATACGACGACACCACAACGGGCGAGAAGGTCGGGGATGACTAAGCAGCCATGCAACCAGTAGCAACCTTTCGACTGCGCCGTGGTAGATTTAGACGCCTCAGATGTATTATAGTGGGGAATGCGCCGCAGCGCAGCGGGGATGGAGTCTCCCGAAGTCGGCCTCTCTCTCTCTTCCATCTTCCGTGCACCAGTCCACTGTCTGAGCCAGCCATTTGAGCAATGTCGAGAATGAGTGCTTAGAAAAGATCCCAGACCCATCAAATTCCAGTAGGCTGTTATTCTTCCCAAAAACTGGTGGCATAGACATGAACCCCTCGAGAGGAAGATCAGAATGCCATGAAAGGAACTTTTAACATAAATCAACTCGAAACAGCAAAACTTTTGTACAGAAACATGAACAGGCGCATGGGCCGTTTGTTTGTGGTCTTTCATGCGTGAGAAGATTGGGCATGGGGTCTTTGCCTCAAGGTCATAAACAGCATCTAACGTACCTTCAGTTGCATAGAGTAACCGCTGGCCTTGGGGATTCTTCACAATGTAGCGGTTTGTGGCCTCCCAATTTGAAAAGACTAAAATTGTCAAAGGAGGAATAATTGCTCAAAAGACCGAAAAATATGCATAAATAAAGATTTAAATTATTTTGCATGGAGTTGACCATTCTTGGGGTGCAAAACTTGAATAAAAACTACTTTTCCGTTAAATAGTTTTGCTTGTAAGACATCTGTCCGTTGATTATTTCTCAAAATATCTTTTGCGGGGTTTTTCACGATCTAGGAATCAATTTTGTTGAATTTTAATGGGATAAGAAGTACACAAATTATTGTCTTATGTTATTAAAATACCGAGGATACATTGGCTCCGACTGTCAACTAACCACATTGCGGCTTTTCATCAACATCAAAAAGTCGTCGGCTATCACAGTCATAGTCTCTTATATAAACATCAATGGAATGGCGGACTAGAGTACGCGAATTTGACAAAATAAAAAATGACATCCAAGTTGGGAAAATAAGATCCGCCTTAAGTGTTTCACCTTAAAAAGAGTAAACGAGTCGCTGAAAATTAGACTATTTCGTTGTCATGGATTAATTATTTGGTTTTATCCATTGGAGATGCTTATCTGCAACCCCATTCTAAACTGAAAAGGTACACTTGCGTACAAAACGATAATAAATAAAAACGACAGTTCGGATATGTTGTAGGTTGTAAAAAACTAACAGCGCGCTGACATGTAAACTCGTCAATCACAATAAAACATTTTAAGTTGCCAAAAAGTGCGCCTTTTATTTAAATGTACCGGTGTTATGCACAGTTTTCAGAGATCGATACAATTCTTAGACCTTTACCGCTGCAGTCACTAACTACGAGACACTCAACATACTGGTTTTTGAAAAAGGTCAAATTAAACACCGAGCACCATGTAATACTGGTAAATATATAAAAGTGGAAAGGCTGCTTGATGGGAACTGAGCCAAAAAGTAGCTTAAACAAGCAACATTAGTACTTTGTTATTCTTTCAAATGGGCGGCATTAGTAAGTCGCATTATTAAACTAGTTAACTAGAATAAGAATGTATATACTAGCTCTTATGCTAACATCTTTTGACGTGGTACTTACCTAGAATTCACACAAATAGCATGCGCTGTCGACGGTCGTACACTTTCAATCATAGTTTATAGAAGTAGTGAGCCTAAAAATCGTCGTTGTACTATTTACTTAGGTATGTACATCCTCTTTTAACAAAAGATTGGGAGGCCTATATCAGCGTTTATATAATGTGCAACTGCAGATTTTGGCCCAATGTTATCAAATCAGTAAATGCCGCTCAAAACTAATGCTCCGAATTCAATATTTATTGCGATAGTTCATTAACATCCGCAAATTTTTATGCAAAGAGTTACGATGCTATGGTAACTTAGTGTGACGACAACAAGCCAAATAATTTAAGACCTTAGAAGTAACCAAGTACTTGGTTGCTGTTTCAAAAATTACACAAAAGTATACCAAATTCCAACTAGAAACTTCGAAGAAAACGCTTCTCCGATTGGACGTATTTAAATGCGCATTGATCATGTGGCCTTTCTGAGAAAAAGGTGATTTCAAAGAGGAATGAAACGATAAAATTTATATACAATTCATGGGTATCTATTTTTATTCCTGTCAAGATTACGCAAATACTTGGAAGACCGATAATTAAAATCCTAACCTGGAAGTAACTTTGGACAACGTCTTCTTTTGGTTACTCTCAAAACCTTTCTTCTGAAATTTTTTCCATGAGTACTGAAACACGCTAGTCACCATTTTTAGAACCTTAGCACAACTTATAACGCTAACGATGTAGAAGCCCAGATCTCGAAGACAGGGCGCTGCTGTACTATTCTGTCGGGTACTCATGTTGGATTGGTGAAGGCTGTCCTTAGGCGACCCTGAGTGCCACCGTCAATCAGTGACAGAATTGGGCTCGTGATCCGGTGTTTACTTATTGGAATCCGGAAAAACCCCGGATCTCTTTAGTGTCGAGCTCAAACGGGACTGATAGAGGACAACCAGCGACTTTAGATTCATTCAACTCCTCGAAATTTGGCGTTCTTGGCACACTGTGAAGTTCGTGATCCCGTTTTTACTTTTTGGAATCCGGCAAAACCCCCGGATCTTTCTAGTGTCGAGCTCGAATGGGACTGATAGAGGACAACCAACGACTTTAGATTCATTCAACTCCTCGAAATTTGGCGTTCTTGGCACACTGTGAATTAGTACCGTTAAGGCAAAGAGAGGAACAATGACATTTAGTTAATACGGTTGTGGGGGTTTTACTGTTCTTGCTGGGGATTTATGATCAGTAAGTCTTATAGCTATAGCACAGACGTTGCCTTCTGAATTGTAATGAAAATCGCGACTCTATTCGCTTCCTGTGAGCACACGTCACGATGGAAAGCACGCTGATCTAATTAGGTTTGCGCAGTTCTAAGATCTGTTTGCCCCTCAGGGAGGTAAACCATAGTGCGAGACGAAAAACCAAAATCATACTGATCGTTCCAACACTTCTGAATAAATATCACACAGAAATATGAAGTACGGCAGACGAAGGAGGCCCATTGTGTGAGCTATTCCGCCTGATCTCACCTCCGATAGACTGAATCGAACTTGCCGTAGATGTATACGGCATGCAATTTTACCGGCATGACAAACTGACGACAGCACGCGGTAACAGGTGCCCCTACCCCTTGGGCTGAACCCAAGGGAGATAAGGACCAGGATTAAACAGAGGGTTAAGTTTAAGGGTGGTGGTAAGTTCATGGCCTAAGCTAAAGTTTGATTTAGAGTTAGATTTAGGACACTTAAAAAGTACTCTTCCTGAAATTTGCTAAAGGTCGCCTGTGTTTCGGAGAGTAGTTTTTATTTCCGTCTCTAACCCAACCGACTACTTCCTAAAATTAGCAGTTCGTTTGGTCTCAGACTGATGAAGCAGCTTGATACCTCTCAGACAAGGTGGCAAACTGCAGTTGTAGCTTCCTAGCGTGACACTTGTGCAAGTCTCTTCAGTGAGCTGTCCATGATCCCTCTAGTAAGAGTCTTGTTTGTTGCGCGAGGTCCACCGTGCGTGTCTACTCGAGGTTGAAGAAAAAGAAAGGGTGTGGTAGATGCTGCACAAGTCTACTAGTGCCATGAACTAGTTCGTGGACAACTCGCCGTCCCTGCGTCTGTGGTGTACATCGTCAGCTTCGACGATTAAACTTAAGCATGCATAGTAGTGAACCCAGTAACGTCAGTCGTTGTGTTCACGTCCCTCTTCAGTATTTGTATATTACCGACTGCCTTTGGCAGAATATTACACTTTTGGTGCGATGTTCTTTTAGTATTAAGATGATCTGACATGCATTTTTCACTCATTTTAGCTAAAGTATAATTTTTATGAAAGGTTATTAAATAAACCTTGAGGTATTGACGCTTTGGAAGAAATCCGTGGAATATTCGGGTTGGGAAAATGGTACTATCTAATAGCATTTTTTGAAATTCTTGAGATTTTACTTTCCAAATTAATTATTTATTGCCGTGAAGAAACGGCAAGTCCGAAGAAGTGGCGGTAATGGTCCTCAACACGAATCTGGAATACGTGCGTCTCTCGGCCTGCACCCTGTCGTTTGCTATAAAAAAGATATAAAGATTTCTTTTTCGTGAAAAAAGTTTGCAGGATATAAATTTCTGCCCCTAAACACTAAGTTAATTTTAAGCAGCGAGGCCATGCTTTCAGATTAAAGACCGTAAATGTCAAGACTGTTTCTTTTCCAGAGTCTGTTGACCATATAAATTATTTGAATAAACAAACGGCTGTACGGTTTCTGGATTCGGCATGAGGGGCTGTGTCCCAACAGATGCGCTAACTGCGCACAACGGGAGGAAGAAGGTAAACTTTTATTCAAGATGATGCCCTAGGTTTGACCCCAATTCGACTGGACGACAAACTGACCCGCTCTCTTTGCATTTCTGCTGGAAACAGCTGTTGCGTAGAGCAAATGGATCCTTCACCCCTTTGCAATTAATCAGAATTTCTTATATGCCTTGCATTTTAGTGGGCGTCAGAGTGCTGAAACCCGGTAATCTGTGATTAAATCCCTAGGGCTCTGAAGACATATTCAATGGTTTGATCTTAGGGCTGTGCATTTTCATAAAGACTTTATACATGTATATATTCACCGTTCAGGCCCAAGAATATTCTCGTCACGGTGTACGTTTGTTCCTACATCGCTGGCCTAGCGACCAGAAATATGTTCTGAAACGTGATCTGACAAGGCGCTGATGAACATCGGTTTGAAAAATTGTTTCTGTCTTATCTAAAAGACACCATCTATAAGCCCGTCGCGTTACATAAGTGCCCTTGTTTGTGGTTCTGATCCAAGATAGTTGCCTGGATATGCATGTACGAAATTTATTGACTTCAAATTTCCCTCGAGTTCCCATGCCAAACCCTTTACAGTTGCGCCAGATACCAGTGGAACCATGTCTGGCATCTATGTTAAAAGTGTGTTATAAACCATTCCAATGTGAATTTATACTACTGCTTGCACAGCTTGCTTTGAGAATAAACACAAAGCAACTATTCCGCAGGATCCAGTTGCCTTTCACTCAAATGTTCTTTGCGATTTCGGGACTGACTTCAAATCTTCCTCCTAGTAAATTGCGAAAGTAGCTGTTTCATATATATATGTTGGGCTAAGTCTGGACGGAGACATGGGAGATTGCAAATAATCAGGATTTCTTATATGCATTATATTTTAGTGGGCATCAGAGCGATGAAACTTAATACTCTTTGAGTAAATCCTTAAGGCTTGGAAGACATTTCCGATGGTTCTGTCTTTGGCCTGTTTATTTATATAAAGGCCTTATATATGCATATAGTCAAGTTAGAGGTATGTTCGCCGTTCAGGTTAAAGAATTATCTCGTCACGATATACGTTTGATCTCACTAAATGGCCCAACAGACAGTGGCCTAGAAACCAGGGATATGTTCTGAAACGTGGTCTGATAAAGACAAGAGGAGCTGGGATGACCATCCCAATCTCCCATGCCTCCGTCTAGATTAAGTTCAGCATACACATTAACATGAAGGAGGTAATTTCGCAATATATTAGGAGAAGGATTTAAAGACAGAGCCGAAATCGTAAAGAAAACTTGAGTTAAAAGCAATTAAATTCTGCGGAATAAGTATTTTGTGCTTATTCTCAAAACCAAGTGTACAAGTAGTAGTAGTAGTAGTAGTGCTAGTAGTAGTAGTAGTAGTAGTAGTAGTATAAATTCACATTGAAATGGTCTATAACGCACCTTTAACATAAGTACCAGGCACGGTTTTGCGACGGTTCGGCTGATACATGACGCAGCTGCAAGGGGTTTGGCACAGAGTTTCCTATGCAAGTTCATAACATAGGCACTCCGGGGAAATTTGAAGCCAATAAATTACATATATGCGCACCCAAACAATAATCTAGAACCAGAAACACAAACAAGGACGCGCATGCAATGCAGCCGGCTTATATATGAAGTCTGCCAGATAAGTCAGAAGGAAGATATCAAGCCGATGTTCGTCAGCGCCTTGATATCTGTTATCGCAGATCTAGTGCTAGTTCGTATAGCGCGTTCTGACCCACTAGCTTCCACTTGCAAAAAGATTTTACTGGTGGCAGAGACCATGAACAGAGAGCCACTAACCAGATCGCACTTTCCTAATATATGACTACTAGGACGTCCGTATGTTGGGGATACTAACCTTGTTTTGCAAACTAATCAGGTATTTAGCAGGTTATTTTATCACTTTATCGATGGTGTTGGCCTGTACCGTACATAGAAGGCATTTCTGACTATGGCAAATACTAAAATCACCTTTTTACTCTGCGATAAGCATAAGTTAGAAGGCACTTCAAAGATGTTTCGCCATCACGGCGAGTGAAGCGCTTTGGAACAGTATTCAACATCTGTCAGAACAAAAAGTGGCTTGGTCGCCATTATTACTCACTAAAGTTCTGTGGTATAAAACACAAAGACATGCATGTTCTTTCGCATACTGAGTGAAGAGCCACCGGTCACGTGCTGTGTGGCATCTTGCTTTGGGCCGTAAAACTTAGTACACACGACAAAAAACACGGAAGCATGAATGTTTCTTCATACGCTGATTTAAGAGCTGCCAGTTACGTGTGTTTGTTAGAGTATGAGCTCTCAGTGTGCCCCCAATACGGGTCGCGCGGTAAGTTCGCCGGACTAACATGGGGGCTTAAATTGATTCTGGCCATCGTTATCGGGACTGCACACCCATAACACATGTTAACATTCGGAATGTGCGGGTAGACCCAATTTCTGACCCACACCACGCACACTGGGATCCTTGCTACCTGTTCAAGCGCTTTTTGTGGACCAGGGAGTTCTGCGGTACCCCCTGGTGCTGATCCGGCCATGTCAGCCATCTCCGTCCTTCCCCGTCCCCGGTCTACTTGAATATGCCCAAGGGGGAGGGTGTGCGGCGTCCTCTGTACAAATCACCACGCCTACTCTTACCCTGCTGTGGGGCACACGGTGGGCATCGTCGAGTTCCAAGTGGCAAAATCCGTGCTACATTAAATAATTCGTCGTTCGTATAGGGTCACAAAACTCACATTTTCCTGATCAATAATTTGAATGTTGCGAAGCCTTATTAATGTTGATCGAAATTATGGGGTATATTTGAGGCGAAAGATCGTAAAAACAACCCTTACTAACTGATATATACTTTTATCGCCATGATCAAAGACAGATGTGGAGAGAGTCATCGGCCTACTTACCTTCTAAAAGTTGGATTTGCTGATGGATAAATATTTTGTTTAAATTGCGTAGGCAGGCTAAACCCTGAGATCGAGGACTGAGATGTGATGGGACAGTTGTTTGTAGGCGGGGGATTGGCAACGTTTTCTCATATTCCTGGGGAGGAGGAAAATCCGCCGGCCTCGTGTCAGTCCTTGTTTCAAAAAACTTTTGGTCCGACCACGTTGAACTTATAGGAAGACGTGGGTGTTCAAAACCTGATCGAGGCTGCTGCCCAGACTGATCGTTAATGACAAGATAGCACCTGGGAAGTCGGTCCTCGGCACGATGCGGGCTATCTTCCGACGGGTAAACCAATAATGCTATGGGCATCTTCGAGGAGGACTGTGGAACACTAGACGTGAGTGAGTGGTCAGTAGAGATTTCGATGTCCGGTTGTGCGGCTTGTGGGCTGCTGTTATGTCGAGCGCGGGAAAAAATCATGGACGAGGGAAAGGAAGTGTTTCTCGGAAGCGTTGAAGATGTTGCCGTTTCTTGGTCACTTGCACACTCAGAAATAACGCACTGAGCAGACGACATTTGTGGAAGAGATGTGAAGATGGAGGTTGTTGGCTTCAATTGTGAATTTTCCGCAATCGTTCTTACCATCGGCGACGAATTCTAAAAATTACGTTTTGAACATATTTTAGACAAGCATTGTCTTCTATAGCCAAAGCTGAGGTTTTTGTTAATCTTAATACAAAAGTCTCATGGACACCTCTTGTCAAAACGTTTGACAATAGCAATTTCCAAAAGTTAAAATACTTGCATAATGAAATCTCCTAAAATTCGATGTCCGTCTTTTAAAACTGGCGATGCAGACACTGATCAGAAACTTTGATTTCCCAATGTACTTTCAGTTGCGGGAAAATGTTTACAATAATTTTGAAAAGTTATGCACACATTCGAAACAGCCGAAAACGCAGAAATGCTGGGGCGATTGCTGTCTTAGCGATAACCGCTGCATTCTTGTTCCTATGCATCTTGGGGCTACGGCTCTGTACTTCTGTCACTGAGTTCCACATTCTGTAATCTATAAAGGCGTGTAGACTGTGTCAAGAGCGTAACTCTCACGATTTACATTTTCTTCAAGAAAATTCACCGTAAACTCGACATCGCTAATGTAAGATATTTCTTATTCTCAATCTTCCCGTGTGGTAGCGAAAACTCTTCCTTAAATATATGGCTAAAATGTCGACGTGGACCCTTTCCGTTTTAAACCAATTCAATATTTAAAATTCTACACCGCTCGTCACTTAAATTTTCGCGAACGACTGCATTAATCTTCCCTGTACGCGTTTCTGACTGCCAACAATTGATTCTTTAATCAGTAACTTTGCCTCCGATTTTCATCCTGCAGAACTTACTTTTTACAGAAACTAAAAAATTGGTCAAGCTTTTATGAAGTGTGAAGCAGAAAAACGCCTGGTAGCACAATTATTCCCTTATGTCAAGGATTTCATGTGCTTTCTTTTAACACTGACTCATTCAGTTAACCCCTTAATCGTCATATATAAAAGAATTAGGTACACCTAAATGTGGAAAAAAAACCTTGATTTGAATGTGCTCACTTACTTGTTCATTACAAGCGGACTGTGTGAGTGTCATATATCTGAAGAGTACCGTGAATTTATGGCGTACAGCTAAAACTCAAGTATTCACTTCCGTTTTAACAAATTTTCTAATTTAACACGGCCTTAAGAAAATTAGACATATGATGGAAAAAAGGTCATCTGAATGAAATATTTATGAAAAACAGTTAAAAAACCTATAAAGTGAACTTATGTTTTAGACTGGCGCTTTGAATTGGCAAGATTAAAACTTTTATTTAACTATAATTTGCGAGATAAGTTCTTTGTTTTGTCACAGGATCCGGTGGATCTGGTTACTTTTGATAAGTGCGTGATTGTGTGGGTGAAGATTAATCTTCATAGAAATTGTTAAACGCCCCAATAACAATAAAACTTCTTATGGTTGATGGGGCGTTTAACAATTTCAGTATGCTTTTATTCACTTAAAAGCTATTATTTTCAAAATAAATGTACTTTTAATATTGACGCGTAAATAAAATGTCTCTTTGTAAACTCTTATGAACAGTATAGAGGACCAAATGTAATGCGTCCCCCATCAAGTACTTGATCGGGGGACGTGTTACGTAGCACGCCTAAATCCACTCTCGGAAGACGAGTCCGTATGATGATTCATATAGCTTATACCTGTTGGACTGAAGCCGGATACAGAGGTACTGCCCATCCAAAGGGCTTGATTGCATGAGCAATGTCTGATAATTCCACTGAAATGACACCATTGAATGCTTTTGTTTTGGACGTCCCACCTTCTTCTAATTCCGCCATCGGATCCTTCGAGCTATTCATTTAACATTTGCGTTACCACCTGAAATCGGAATAATTCTGAGCGGTAGAGAAGTCCACAATAAAGATTTGAAAAAAGCAAATCGCAATTCGGCCTAATTGCCAGACATTATTTCAAACCGTAGGAGATAGCACAGAAACTAAAATCGTGCGCTATTTGTTGTCGAGGTCGAAGTGGAAAATTTAAACATGGCCTCCATAAGTAGTTTAAGATGTCAAGACACCGCCTATTCTGGTCTTTTTCCTCTGCATTTTCTGAAGATGAAAGTTCATTTTATATATTTTGATGGCTTTGTCCATCATAAAGTAACAGTCTGTTTGAATCAACAGCAATAAATTTCCTCACTTTCATCCGTAATTTCAGAAGAAAGGGTTCCCCTCAAGATCCTTCCTATGAAGAAGACTGGATATTTTCATTCCCTTTGCGCGTTATATTTACATGGGTCGAAAAAGTAACGGATTAGTAGCTTATATTGGCTTCTAGTTGCTTATTAAACACATGTTTAATAAGAAACTACTTTCTGGGTCTGGGCAGGTATAGGTATGAGTCTCTAGCCTTTGGTTATTTACTGTGTTAGCCAGAAGGTAATTTTTGCACCATATCTGCGTAAACCAAATCGCGAAATAAGTATGAAGAAATGGTTGGCGAAGGGCAAAGAAATCTACTTGAGACCAGGGTAGTTTCCGGACAATCAACAGCACGCAAACATCGATGGATATAAAATGTAGCTCTAAAGTAAACTATTAAATGTAGTTGTTAATCAAATAAAACTAGGGAGGCGAAGAACCACTTGATTTGGTGGTGACATGTACGAGCATCCGCCACCAAATAGGTCCTAAAATAATGCAACGTTTGCTTTTTTAAGCCTGATACCAATAAATTGTCGCATATATAACAGAGTAATTAAATCTGCGATTGACAGCGGACGTCACTGCGCTACAAGCATGTACATTTCGGTGTCCTGTAGCCTTATTAGTATAGTTATTTCGGTGTTGGTGACAATCTCCGTAAGACTTTTGAATTTCAACGGCGTTTCACCCGATAATTTTAACGGCTATCGGTTGCCTCTTGTAAAAATACGCTTATGACTACACTAAGACATCTGGCGTTATATCATCCATTTCTCCACTATTTGTGCGCTTTCAAGCTCCACATTCTGCGGGATATGCTGACAGCGGACATAATTAACTCCGACCGAGCGATGATAATTATTGTGGTAACTGTTTAATTAATGGTTTGTGTCTGCACCCGCAAGGCATGGGATAATGTTCACAAACATGCTAAGTGTAAAAATGTACGTCCACTAGGCACGTATCACAAAACCGAAGACCATTAGAATAAATATGCGGTTATTTGTTGGCGTAAGTGACGAGCAGTCTCTGCGCTAATTGTACGAAAGAGCAAAAACGCTGACGCCATTTTAGACACGTAGAAGTAAACATCCAATCGAGATATAAATGATGCGTATAATGGGATACTAATGTAAACTTAACTGAGTTCGACAGACGAGAATGGATACACATGTTCACTATGCATGTTGGCTTAAAGCGTTTTTCGTGAGACATAACTCACTATCTAGACGTTCATTTTGGCTTAGATTGTGTTCAATGCTAAAATATATTATTACCAACTTTTGAATTCCTTCATAAACTCCCTGTTATGTTGCTTACTTTTCGTAATGCATCAAACACCACCAAGATCTTGGCTAGTCTGTTACAACCTAGTGATCAACTTCCCTTATTTGTTTCACTCTAGATATAAAGCAGATAAATAAAGCAGTCCTCTCTCTCTCTAGATCTCCTGCAGCCTAAAATCCTTGTGCCCAGTGATTACAATGCTGCTTATCCATATTCCGCTGTGTTCCTAATGAAACCAAAGAAACCATCCGGCTTATTAGAACAGCACGCACACAGAGAAGATAGTGGTCGTCTTCGTTTCGGGATTTCCACTTCATATTATCATCTGACAGTACCGAACAGCCGACTGTCTTGATTGCGATCGGAGTTCCATATCACCTTTCACCACAAGTATACCCTTGCCCTTATGATGAATTTGTCTTGCGCTTCCCTATTTGTTTGAGCAGTAGTATTCTCCCTGCGTATTTAAGCCGAATGGCTCGGGTAAACTGATCTCTTTCTATGCTTTCCGTCCAGGAAGTTTTTCAACACATCGGTCGGGGTTCACCGACCTTGAGCGTACAGCTATTCTTAACCTCATTCTTATCCTGTATTTAATTGAACCGCATCTGATGAATGAGTTAAGTACCCCATGTGCTACTGTGCGCTGTGGACTTTGAGGTGACAAATACTCACATATCTACAAAAACTTGTTCAAAATTCTGCGTGCGGTTTTATGTTAGAATTTGAACGGTTTAACAGATTTGTTTCTTAGTTGCGCGTTCATATTGATCGTCAACGGCGATCGCCTACTGCGCATAAGTCTGCCAGACCGTTCTCATCTGGTCCCTAAATGAATAGAGTAGCGACCTGGTTAGCATTCGATGTCCTTGGACAACCACCAGCGATTACATTACGTCTTTGCTACTGCGTAATCCAGAAATTTCGTCGGATCACCTTTAGTGTTCCTATTCGCAAAGCCTTGGTTGCCGTTAAGCCCCATTCACTTATAATCAAAAACCTCGTCTTTGAGGTAGAGCAGTACCTCGAGCAGCACCACCTACTCTCCGATGCCCATCACAGCTTTCGAAGTGGTCGGTTCTGTCTCACGAATCTGCCCTTTATGCTGGAACGCAGGACCAAAGCAAGCGATGAAGGCAACCTGGTGCACGCCGTCTACATAGACTTTAAAAAGGCCTTCGATGGCGTTACTCGTCAACGTATCTTGCACAAACTACGCAACGCTGGAATTCGTGGGCTCGTTCTTGTATGGATCAAGAACTTTTTGACTGGGCGGTCCCAGAGAGTGCAGGTCGGGCGTTAGCAGTCCTTAGGAGTAACGGTGGTGAGTGCGTCCCACAGGGCTCAGTTTTAGGCCCCATGTTATTCCTAGTTTTCATAAATGACTGCGTCAAGGTCCTACCCTGTGAAGTCACCTTGTTCACTTCAGTTCAGTTTATTGAGGGAAATAGGCGTAAGCCTTTGAGTACCCTATTTGCAACGTCAAAAATGTGTGGTATACAGATAAATGTTATGGGCTGAAATAGTTTAAACAAGCCCATAATGGTAGGACAAACAGAAAAAGAGTTACAGTGGTGAGCTCTACTTCTCATCGCTCTTGGTCATTTCGTAGCATAATTATGTCAAGATTCTTTATAAAACTTTGCATAGATGATGACATCACAACATCTGAGGAAGGGCATTCCATGGTTTGACCACTCGAACAGAGAAGGAGAACGTCCGCATATCCAGCCTTGCCTGCTGAGTGCGCAGTTTTAACGGGTGACCTCGGAGGTTTGTCGTGGTAGCAAATTCAAAAAAGTCCACGAAGGCCAGACTGCAAACCAACTTTTTTACAATGCGGAAGGCTTGCAAGAGATCCCTGCGAAGTTGCCTATAACTGAAAGGAAAGAGGTTTAGATTTGCTAGGCGGGTTACACAAGAAAAGGAGCTTTGACCCCTAACCATCTTCGTGGCTCTCCTCTGGACTCTTTCAGTCAGTCAGTCAGTCAGTGTATTTGAGGGAAATAGGCCTACGCCTTTGAACTCCCTATTTGTACATTTAAAAAATCGATAAACTAGCAGAATGTTAAGAAATTACAGCAGTAAGTGTATGCATGCATTGATTCACATATGTCACTGGTCTTATGGCTAAAAAGTCACATAGTCCGCTTGGTGCTGTAGCATGTTTGTCAAGCCTACATTTAAATGTCGCCACAGATTGAGACATGACAACCGTCTCGGGCAGATTATTCCACGGTTCCACGACACGGTTGAAGAAGAAATATTTTCTCACATTCCATCTACCCTGGGGCACACTTAGCTTGAAGGGATGTCCCCGAAGGTTAGTTGTTGTGGCGGTTTTGATCCTCAACAGCCCACGGTCTCCAGACTTGTATGCCGTATTCTTAATGCGGCCGGACGAATGTTCCCAATGTCTTTGAGAAAGCATCTTCGTCAAAGTCCATAAACACACGTCTGATGGCGTACAGTTCGGATATTGCGCTTTTTGCGACCTACGAACAATGGGCGGATGGCTTTAGAGAACTTGTCGTCAGAACGCCGAGGTACTTTTGGGCTTCGACCTCTTGTGGGGGCGTACCGCCCAGAAAGTAGTCTCTTGTGGTGGCCGATTTCGCTGTGTTACCTAGGCGAAGTATGCTACATTTGGCAACGTTGAACCGCAGGAGCCAACGGTTTGACCACTCCTCCAACCGATTCAGGTTCATCTGCAGTCTGTCTTCGTCGGCTGGACTCCGAATTATACTCCACTTCTTCATGTCATCGGCAAACATTGCTACTTTGCAGTCTAAAGCTCCTGCGGCATCGTCAACTTAGATAAGTAACAAAATGGGTCCCAGTACTAAACCCTGGGGGACACCACTCTCGACCATAGCAGGATCTGATTTTCCCCGACCAATGCACACAACCTGCTGTCGACCCACAAGGAAGTTTTCGATCTATTTAAGGAAGTTGCCATTGATCCCTATTTTTTAAGTTTATGTTGGAGCCTCTGGTGTGGCACAGTGTCGAACGCTTTCTGGAAGTCGATGAAGGCGATGTGGACCGCGTGCCTGTCGTCGAGACTTCGGGTCCAGCTCTGGAGAGATTGCAGCAAGTTTGTCGTGCAGGATCTTCCCTTCCGGAACCCATGTTGGCATTTCGATAGTAGGCCGTGAACTTCCAGGAATTGCATCAGTTCACTCTTTATGATCCTTTCCATCACTTTGCAGAGAATGCATTTCAAGCTTATGAGCCTGTAATTTGTCGTCGCTGCCCTGTTACCTCCTTTGTGTAGCGGAGTAATATGCGCCAGCTTCCAATCGTCAGGAAGTGTTCCAGTGTCAAACGACGTTTGAAAGGGCATCGACAAATGCACAGAAAGC